TTTTTGCTTATGTGGTGCTGAGGAATCGAACCCAGGGCCTCAGGCATGCAAGGCAAGCACTCTACCACTGAGCCACCTTCCCAGCCCCTCTTTGCTCCTTTTAACCAGCAGAAAAGCTGGAAGTGAAAGGATAGCTCGCTTGGTAGAGCACTGGCCTGGAACAAAAAAGCTGGCAGACAGTCCCCAGGCCCTGAGTTCAAATCCTAGTTCCAGCACACAAAAAAAATTACAGTTATGAGTAGCAACAGAACATACTTGGGCTATATAGAGTAATGAAATTTCCAGGTACATAATTTTCATAAATGAGTTAACCTATCTACTTTTCTCAGTTGAAAGCCTACTTAGTACTGTAAATGGCATGTCCATTCTATTGGTACTTCATCTATGACTCAGGTCTTCAGCCGTTGCCCTTTCCACCTTCAGCAGCAGTAAGCTCGAGAGGGACGTGGGGGTTGGGGCTGGCCGCGTGTGCCTTCCATGCTTCAGGCCCAGCACCATCACCAGTCAGCTTCCGTGAGAACTGCGGCTGCAGGCAGATTCCAGTGCAATTACATGTGCCGCCTCACATTAGTGCAGCTTCACTGGGCCTGAGGAAAGCATTGTTCCAAGTGTTCAAACCTGACTCTTCAAATCAGAGTTGACTAGCTTTCTCCCAAGCTGAAAGTTAAACAGTCGCTCCAACTCATTCCTTAAAATGCATTCAAGAATCCGGTCAGTACAGTAAGTTTGGTATGAGAGCTTATGTAAGTGCTTGCACCGATACCAGTTTTCTTGCCCACTGAAGTCTCACTTCAAAGGAATTATTCATGAGAATAACAATACCACCTTAATTTGTTTTTACCTATTGGCTATTTTGATGACAGTAGTAGTTCCTGATTTTCTCAAAACTCAATTTCCTGTTTCTTCATGACTATTGGCAAAACTGCTCATAGAGTTTTTGTTGGCACTCAGAGCTGACCAGCGTCAGAACTGTACAGTTTCTTCACATGGATGAGTTTTGTCTAATCCCGTCTCAAATGGAAATCTATATAAATAGTTAAAAATGAGTGGTAAGGTGGGCACCGGTGGCTCACATCTGTAATCCTAGCTACTCAGGAGGCTGAGATCTGAGGATAAGAGGTTCAAAAGCAGCCCAGGCAAGAAAGTCTATGAGGCTCATCTCCAATAAACCACCAGAAAACCAGAAGTGGTGATGTGGCTCAAATGGGTAGAGTGCTCACCTTGAGCTGAAGAGCTAAGGGACAGCGCCCAGGTCCAGATTCAAGCTCCATGACAAAACAAAACAAAAACGTGGTAAAGCTGGTGGCTCAGGCCTGTAATCCTAGCTACTCAGGAGGCTGAGATCTGAGGATCGTGGTTCGAAACCAACCCTGGCAGGAAACTCTCTGTGGGGACTCCAATAAGCTACTCAAAAAAGACAAAAAAAAAGAAAAAAAAACAGAAATGGTGCTGTGGTAGAAGTGGTAGAGTGCCAACCTTGAACAAAAGAAGCTCAGGAACAGTGCCTAAGCCCTAGCTCCAGGACTGGCAAAAAAAAAAAAAAGAAAACCAGAAGTGGGGCTATGGCTCAAAGTGGTGGAGCACTATCTTTGAATGGCAGTGCTCAGGGGCAGTGTCCAGGCCCTGAGTTCAAGCCCCAAGTCCGACCCCCCCAAAAAAATTATGGGAAAGATCTCCATTTTCCTTCCAAGAGGCAGGCCTGAACCCCCACTTCTCTGAATCCTGAAGAGTCTTCACACACAGCTCTGCAGAAGCATTCTCTTGCTTGCCTTGCACTGTGCAGTCCATCCTGCTGTCTGTTGCCTGCGCTGTGCTCTGCGCAGTGACCACAGTGTTCTGTTGCCCCCGGGTTCTCTGAGGTAGCACTCTGCCTCGCGAGCTAAATCTTCTCGGCTTTCTGGTTTTCCTTTTTGTGCCAGAGGACACCCCAGAAGCTAAGGAAGAGTATTCAGGAGCCACTGAAGAGTGTGACGCAGGTGCTGAGGTGAAAAGCTCGGAAGAGACTCCAGTGGCAGCGAAGGGGCCGGTGGCAGAGGCCTCGGGGGCCACCCCAGGGGAGGCCACGGCTGTGGCTTCTGAGACTAGGCCCGAGGTTACAGCTGCGGCCGTGGGCAGAAACGTGGAGGTCAGTTCTGGAACGAGCCCCGGGGTGAGTCACCCAGCACCAGAGCAGGGGGGGCCCTACTGCCACAGCCACAGTCACAGCCACATGGCCCGGGAGAGCCATGGCCCCGGGGGATGTCCCGGGCCAGACAAGGAAGCCCTGCTGGCTGCCTCCAAACCCTGCTCTCAGCATGGCTTCCATGGAGAAGCCTGTGTGGAACCCGAGGTGGCCTCCGCTCGAAACCAGTAACCTGCTTCAGAGAATGGTCCTCAGAAACGCCCCGAGTCTCTGATTGCCTCTCCTGTGCTCTCAATAACCTTAGCTCTTAGAGACTTCTCTGTAGAAAACATCATTGTGCCTTGAAGATGAGGGGTATCTGCTGATTGATTCTTAGACTTGAGAGATTCCAGATGTTACATGGTTTTCTACTGTCTAAAATCAGACTGTGTCATTGCAGTAAAGCTTCCA